GCGAAACACATTTCGAACCGAACACTGATTTTGGTAATAAAATTCAATGATTTGCAAGCGTTGCTCGTTAGTAAGTCTATTCATGATGAAATGTCAAAGCATACTGAGCATCTTTCTCTTTGACACCATGTCTGAAATCCCACGTGATCTGTCAAATACTAATGCATGAAAATCCTAACCTCAAAAAAATCACCCTTTATAAACACCAAACCAAAGCCAAAACTGGTAAAAATGTCACTTAACTTAATCAGTTGACCACAAGGGTATATGGATGCACTTCTAAGTACGAGAGCAGCAACAGCAGCAGGAGAACTTAAGATAAGCTAGCTGCTCTTACTCGATTTAGCTTTGGAAAGTGCGACTAGAAGTGGGAAGGCAGTAATTTGGCTTTGCGCAAAAGAGGCAAGCAGCAGGCGCCGCGCCACAACAACAATGATGATGATGATGGTGATAATCTGACCAAAATTTCAACGCAAGTGTGTGTTAAGCAGCACACTCTTGTACGTGCACATACATACATATGTAAACAAACTAACGTATGAGTGCATGCCTCCGACTGCAGCTGCAGTTGTCTGTTGAATAAATGTTCATATTTGACTAAATTAAGCAGTAAATTGTAGTTAAGTTGGCGAAAATGAAGCGATGTGAACTGGAAATTTTTGCAAACTGTTCTACATATGAACTATATATGTATTTTTTCTTTTCTTGGCGTTATGCAATTTGTGAGTATGGTGTGTTGCATGAACAGTATTGTAAGAAATTAATTGAAATTTACAGGATTATCGGTAATTTATTGATTGAAGTGAAAATTTTTCGATAATATCAGTGTGTGATCGATCTTTTTATGATTGACCTGCCGATATGATCTACTGAGCGGCCATTAAACATAAAAAAAAAAACGAATAAAAGAAATGTCTGCAGCATCGATAGTAACCTGCTTAAATTTAAATAATATTTTTATGGTAAATGCTTTATTGAAAATGCAATAAATCCAACAGAAAAAAATTATTTTTCTATAAAAACTGTGTGTTTCTTTTGCAGCTTTAGACAACCTTAGAAATTAGGTAGCCGCAGAGGCTAGACCCAGAGAGTTTTGAGATATGTCGGTTTAATCCTCATTAGTCCTTAGGGTCAAAAGTTACCCTTTTTATACCTTTCATGAGCATGAAATGGTATTATAACTTTGGTCCGATGTTTGTAAGTACCAGAACAAAAAGAGATAGACCCATTAA